CCGTTTGCTCTTCCCACATGTGCTGTGTCACAGGGCAGGCCTCACATAACTGGATCGTGGCCATCTGATCTTTTGAATAGATCAATATCGATTTTTTGCTTGTGCTTGATTTTTCCCCCTCCTTCCATCTTTCCTGAGTATCTTTGAAGAGTACGAGTTAAATAGAACCTGCAATTAAAACGATTTCTTTAGATCCCTCAATTAAAAGTATTTCTTTAGAGCCCTGCATTTCTCTCCCTTTCTGTGATCATTAGCAACGGGGAAATCAGAACTCTCTTCATGTGAATACTCCTCAAGGGCCTTTTCCGTTATGAGAGTACTTGCCAATTAATTGATTGTAGGCACTCAATGACGATTTCTAGAATGTAATTCGGGGATTCCCTGGAAACTAGTACACTTGATGAATCTGATAAGGCACAGGAGTTTTAATTTTATCAAGGCGTTCACATACATCACAGCATGAGGGAATTAAGATTCGAAATAGTTTTAGAGATTGCTAGGGCTTGAATGTGTCCACCCGCCTGCCCCCAGAATTCCTGTGATGAAATTTGGTTGTGACAGACTTAAGAGGGTAAAAATGTAATCCAAAATGGGATTAGGAGGTGGGGGCTTTGCTAGCCACAGTGTCATCCTCTGGTTGACACAGCCACTCTGCAGTCTGAGGCCATGTGAGCAGCCCAGGTTGGATTCCCCGTCCTCCCTGAAAGCTGGGAGCAGTGGCATGCACCTGTGGTCACAGCTGCACGGGAGGCTGAGACGAATAAGCAGGACCTAGGGAGATCCTGTCTTACAGGGTGTCTAGGAGGAGGTTCGGATTACTGTGATCAGGGGGCTGTGATTAAATTCTGGTGGATTCGTAAGGAAAGGAATGAAACGGACCCAGACATGTGCGTTCTTTTTCCTTTCCTTTCCTTCTCTCTCTCTCTTTCTTGACAGGGTCTTGTTTTGTTGTAACCTCCTGACCTCAGCCCTCCAGCTGGGACCATAGGTGTGTACCCCCACATGTGGCTTTTTCCAGATGGGGTCTGGCTATGTCACCTGGGCCAGCCTAGAGTCCAAGTCCCTTCTGCTTCGGCCTCTTTGAGTCACCGGGATTACAGCCAACATATGTTCTGGCTCAGTTCTTTCCTCACCACGTGAGCGAGGTCTACCAGCAGGAAGATTCTTACCAGGTGCACCCCTTGACTTTTACCTCCCAAACCGTAAGCTAAACAAACCACTAGTCCTTATCATTTTTTAAAATAAATTTCTTTGACAATTGCTTTTAAATATTTATTTCATTTTATTTACTTATTTTAAAAAATGCTATAGGGCACATATGCTCACCAGACACACACACACACACAGAAAGTGAGAAAGCAAGCAAGAGGGACAGAGAGAGAAAGTGAGGAAAAAAGCCACCAGGCCTGAGACTTGAACCGTGGTTGGTCATGCAGGAGTACAACACCTTAAACACCATGCCCCCTGCTGGCCCCAGTCTTAATAAATTACCCAGACTCACATACTTCTGTTAGTAGCAAACAATGAACATCGCCATGGGGTGGGACAAGCCTGATGAATCAGAGTTTCACACTTGTGGCTTGGTTCACACTTGGGCATCTGACCACAGAGTCAATGAGCCTCCATCCTGGGATCTCTGCTGGGAGGACAGACATCGTCCAATTGTCCGCCTGAAACTGCAGGCAGCCATGAGGGTCCACTCTCAACACAAAAGTCAGATAGCTTCACTCTTCCACTCAAATCCCTGCAATAGCTCCCATGGCAATCAGAGGGCCAGTCAAAGTCATTGCGATGGCCTCTGAGGCCCCCATGGGCCACCTACCCGTACGTTGCTGGCTCATTTCCTTCCTCTTTCCACTCACTCTGCTCCAGCCTGACTGACCAGCCTGCTCTTTCTGCCCC